TGTTTAGTCTGGAGAAGAGGAGGCTGAGGGGAGACCTTATTGCTCCCTACAACTACCTGAAAGGAGGTTGTAGTGAGGTGGGGGTTGGTCTCTTCTGCCAAGTAACGAGTGATAGGATGAGAGGAAATGGCCTCAAGTTGTGCCAGGGGAGGTGTAGGTTGGATATTAGGAAAAATTTCTTCACTGCCAGGGTAGTCAGGCACTGGAACAGGCTGCCCAGGGAGGTGGTTGAGTCTCTGTCCCTGGAGATATTTAAAAGGCATGTAGATGTGTTGCTTAGGGACATGGTTTAGTGGTGGACTTGGCAGTGCTAGGTTAATGGTTGGACTCGATGATCTTAAGGGTCTTTTCCAACCTAAATGATTCTGTGATTCTATGAATGTATTTCTGAGGTACAGTTTTTCAGAAGAAGCTAAGTTGTGAAGCAGATTGTAAGTCATATTGATACACAGGGATTTATTATAAGAGATGAAAGAAAAAGAAGGAAGGTTATTTTAAATGAGCAATTCCTATTGGTACTCATATCATTAAAGCAGCTAGAACCTATGGGAGGAAAAATATTTGGTAAATCACAAGTAGCAAAACTAATCAACACAATGTTACTATAACAAATTATATCCTGCAGACCTTTGAGACCCGCATTGATTTTGAATGCAAAAGAGCTATAGGATTAAGCATATTTTCTAAAATAAATTTAAATGGCTCTTTTTATCCTATGTATTCTTTTCTGAAGTACAGCCTTGAATCAGAGCTGAACTCAAAGAGAAAAAATGAGGGCGTCTAGATTATTTGCATGAAGGGATTGTTTAAATGTGTATCATTCAGCTCTAGAAAGGCATTGCTTTGAGGTCACACAAGGATTATTACTGAAAATTTCTGTGTATGAAAATGGACAAGAATCCCCCTTAATCACGTCATAGCTCAGGTGTCAGAGGTCTGATGAGCTTGCTTCATGTTGAACTTATGTTACTTCGTGTTGAAACCATGATATTTCCTTTTTGAACTTTCATATCAAATGCTGTGTTTATTTTTTTTAAAGCACAACTCAAAGTCAATATTAATTTAATAATTGTATGTTTTTATTAATATTTACTGACTGTCCCAAGCACTTGACAATGGAAACCTTGTTCTTTAACTCAATGTTATAACTGGGTATATCAGTGAACACATTCTCATGCACAGGTTTTTAAAAATCATTCTTACTAATGTCTGAAATAAAATTTAAAAACAAAACAAAAAATAATAGATCAGGTACTAATGTTGCAATTTAAACCTATCTGAATTTTCTAATGTCCTTCAATTTTTCATAGCTTTTAAAGGTATGATTTTTGTATGTATTTTAATCCTATAAATTAAACCTGATTTAAAAAAAAAAGTCTTTAAAGATGTGGTGGGGAATAGTTGTCATTTCTGGCTTTCTTGAAGGTCTAGGACTGTATTATAAGAAACCCATTTTTACTTGTCATGTCTTCTTTCATTGTCACACTTCCTTTCTACCTTAGTCTTTCTGGCCTGTTCTTGTGAGATGCCCTACTTATGAGAAATTTCAATCTACTACGTTTTTTCCTTTCCACAGTCAGCCCTCTACATAGAGGAAGAAGCACTCCATGCCAGCCACTGGCTGACTCTTGTGTTCCTATGAACCATGGATCATTCTTTATTCTGAAAAAGATCTCATTGCCTCCAGTAAATAGTTGCTTATGTGTGTACCGAATGAAGCCAGTGGAGTTTTTTGTTCTGAGCGTGTTACAGAATTTCTTTGGCCCTACAGAAATTGTTCTTGGCCATCAACATTAAGATTTCAATGGACTCTCATCTAACCAGAAGTTGTTACTCAGAATGTGCTCTATAAAGTGGGGAATAACCTTCATTTCTACTGAAACTGTATCTTTCTGTATCACATGCAATACAGATGTAGTAGCTGTACAGATGTACAGAGTCTCTGTAGGTGTTCAAGTCTGGGTTGACAGAGAAATTTAGGTCTTTAAGTCGCACTGAAACACCTCCTGAGTGTCTTTCAGGACCTAGTACCCCTTTCTTACATAGAGAAAAATAGGCACACTGCAACAGACCAAAAATATCCTAAAGGAGACACAAGATTTCTGTGGTTGCATTTTATGAGATTTAGCTGTTTTGGTGAAGGAGAGCATGGATTATTGTGTTGAGAAAAGGTCTAATGGATAAGCAGAATGCCTTGCTAACTGATTTTTAAAAAAGAAACTGTTTTTGTAGTGAGCTTGACTCAATTACTTTTGTTTCTGTTCTCCTCAAAGCAAGTCTGCTTCCCTGCCCTGTGAGTGTAAACTTCCCATAGGCTTAAAAGAACGGGACAACTTTCAGGAAAAGGACCTATCCTTTAGATTAAGAAATTGGGAAAACAACTGACCCCAGCCTACATTAGTCATCAGCTTACTATTAATAAACAGATCAAAAATAATTGTTTTGTTGATATTTCTGTCTCTTTAACTTGAGGTGGGTTTTTTTTTTGTTGTTGTCTACCTTAGCTACTCTTCATCATTTTTTTTCTTAGATCCTGCACTGAACATGATTCGAGTTTTATGTTTATGAATCTGTATTCATAGAAGTACAGAACTGACTATTGGTACTTTTTATTGGTGGTGATATGACTTATGAGAACTGGGAATGTACTTAAAGGTAACTTAATGTCTGTGAGTGACTCCAAGCCACCACAGTACATTGTTTAATATTATTTGATGAATGACTGACAGAGTGTGTTTCCAATATTTTATCTTTTCCTTCTGGTTTATCCAAGTAACCAATTGTATAGGCAGGCATCTGAAGTGGGACAGAGAAACTGGAACATCAGTGTGTGTCAGCTAGTAATTGATTAGATCTTTCTACAATGAAGAACAGCAGTTTCCCACAATGAATTTGTTACATGGAAGGAAAAAATGAGATGACTTTCCAGGAAGGTGATAAGGAATCAGGCCAGTAAAGCTCTTCTTAAATGTTTTTGCTTTGCTTTCCCTGTTGCCCCAAATAAGCAGCAAGGCTCCTAAATGTTCATCATTATTGTTGGAGATATTAACCTAAATCCAAATTGCTGTTTTTCTTACAGCTGGACTTAAAGAGATACAGATAATGATTTTTACAAATACTCCTTAAGATTAGGTCCGTGCTTTATTACATATTGTGGGATTATTATTATATAGCTGGTGTGTTGCTACAGTGCCTCTCACTTGTTCCAGAAAGTCATCAGTAACAAGATGATGCTGGAGAAGATAGCTGTGGTCAGCAGGTACCTCATACAGACTGGCAGCATTTCCGAGCAACAGTTACACAGTAAGGATTATCGAGCACATGAGATTTGCCAGGCATATTGCTTGCAGTATGACAGCATCTGCTGTTGACTGGGTGGAGCATCTTGCCAGCTGTTAGTCATATATATTTTTTTCCTTGATGTGTCTTTACATTAAAAAAAAGATTCCAACATCTGTTTCAGAAAGTCAAATAAATACAAAGACACATTAGGTTATTTATATGTGGGATTTTAAAAGCAGTACTGCAAATTGTGCAGAGCAGTTGCTGACTCTTGGACTGTCATTTATTCAAAACATGTATTGGAGCAGTCCTGATCTAATGAACTTCCGTTTATGGTAACATTACTTCAGTAAGCTGGGGGCATACTCTAGTTTTCTAGAATATTATAATGAATTTTGTAAAAGATGCACTCTTTTTATGCCTGACTGAAGAGTTTTTATAAAAATAATACGTGAAGCAAAAACTAGAATGAGTCAGAAAGTGACTGTAGTTGAAGAAAAAGCAGAATGATGGCACTTGTTTACTGTCACTCCTAACACTATCAAACTGAGCTGCTCCTTTCTACTAGAGGCTGGCCCAACCCATCTGAGCTGTACATTTTTTTCAATAGCCAGGGAATTTGGACAAAGACTTGGTATGAATCCTATTCTTTTCTGTACTGTGGGAGTGATAAGGGCTTTCCTCCAAAAAACACTTTACTGGATAATTCTATCATCCATCAACACGGAACAAAGGAACGGCATTTGCCAGAATTTACATCTTGGGTAATTGTTTCTGCTTTCATTTAAATTAGTTTCTAAGCTTCTGTTTCTTCTGGCAACAGGCCCAAGTCTTTGGTAACTGGACACAAGCTTTTGCATATCATTAATTAACAGATCTTTCTCTTTTTAAATTTTACTTCCCTTTTTTTCTATCTATCTTCCCACTCTTAGGGTTTTTTAATCTCATTCTATTACATCCTTTCAGCATGAATTTCTTATAATTTCTTCCACTCTTTTTTTCTGTTTACTGGGTTTCTAGTCCTAACACGTGTCTTTTACTACTGTGAGAAGGTTTATCAAAATACTACTAGCTGTATGTTTGTGTGACTGATATATTGTGCTATGTCCTTGTGTAAACAGATCTAGAGTCTGATCAAAATGTTTTAACTCATGTAACTGAGGTCACTCAAGGTCTCATATCCCAGACAAATTACACATGCCTTCTAACCAATCTGGATAAACAAATACTCTGAGGAGCGAGAATCTGATATATCTTTTTCATAGGATTTAACTTCTTCGACCTTCCAGAACCTCAGGCAATTGGATGTACAACTATTCTCCACCTTACTAAAGATAAATCTCTCTCTTTTCAAATGTATATGTACACACAAGCGCACTTATTTTTTATAGCTAAATAAGGTCATTAAAAAAAAAATCTAGGATGTTTTAACTATTTCATTGACTTTTCAGATTGTTTTTAAGTTGTTTTTTAAACTTTAAAGGCAACACTGATAGTGAACGGTTCCAAATGGTAAAACAGAAAATCCCCTTCAAATATAACCGGCCCGTAGAGGAGTGGCTGCAGGAAAAAGGTAACAGTCATTAAAACTTTCATTTTAAACCCATTTGATTCTAAACCCTCATTTTTAAAGCCTGCAAATAAATGTTTCTTAAATTATAATCGCCTGCTGCATAAATGACTGTTTTAATTTTCATTATAATTTGTGTCAGCTTCCACCTGCCATATGTTGATAAATCATGCTATAATACATTGCTATTAAAATGCAGTTAAAGGGACGAAATTCTAAGCTTGCTATCATAGTAATGACAAACAAACAAGCAAAAATTCAGGAGACGTTTTCTAAAAAAAAAAACAAAACGAAGAAGAATGAAGAGCAACAACATGTATTATGGCAATTTAACCACTGCATGATTTTCCTATTTTGATTTGGTTTTAAACTACATTTATATCTTTATTATCTAAGTTTTCTTAAAAAAATTTCAAACCTACTTGTTAAACTACTTCCTATAAGTTTCTTTTTTTTCATTAGTCTGATTAGCCACTATGGCTATGTGTTTCCTAATTGTATTAAGATAATTAAACAATTTTAAAAAATGTTGTAAAGAAAACATTTTTTAACACTTTCATTTAAACTACAGTGAGGGAGACAGAGAAAGATGATTGTTCTGTCCTTTTTATGCTATCTCTGGAATACAGTTTGAACACTCAAATGATACATTTGTCTAAGTTATGGGTCAAATTCTTCTCTAACTTAATCTCAGGCAGTGCTACTTAATTTTGTGGGTTTGCCTGGGGTAATTGGCCTCAGTTCGGCACAAGACTTGTTAAAATGCGTAAGTCTAGCTGGCTTGAGTGAGAGTTCTGCGTACATTCAGTGACCTGTTGAAATGGGACTTGTGTCAGAACAGTAATATTCTTTTATCAGGAATTTGGAGGGGAGAAAAAAAGAAATCTTGGATGCAGAGCCCATTCCAAAGCCTGTTGAAGGTAACAGAATAACTCTGATTTCAGCAGGGTTTAGACTGGGCTCTAGGTAATACAGTGGAGCATAAGTCAGGAAGATCTCCCTCTATAATAAAAAAACACACAACCTACTGTAACTAACTCCTTGCCATGAAGTCTAGAAAAAGCAGAACACAATCTTCTCTTGTTTCCTTTTAAGAAAGTACCGCTGATAAAAGGGGGTGACCTTTGAACTCAGATCTTGCATTTTCTGTGCTGACTTAGACTATGGTTGTTAACAAATTTTCCCAGAGGGAAAACCAAAGTTTTGTAGGATTGGAAAAATATAATTTATGTTCTGTTTCAAACTTCTGTCCTCAGCTGAATTAACAAATTGATTTAGCCAGTATGAATTAAGTTAAGGTCACGAAGGATGTGGCTAACTACAGTCAAAATACTTTTATGTGAAGGGTCTGATCCTGCAAAGTGTTGTGCACACTCAGTTCCCGTTGACTTCAGTGAGAGCTGACAGTGTTGCCCACTTTTCGGGTTTGGTCTACAGTGGTGTAATGTTTGTAACTAAAGCTAAAGTATTTGTGAAAGTAAGACAAAAATATTTGTGTAACTAAAACAGAAATATTTTTTGACCACCAGGGTTTTATGGAACAGTTAATTCAGCTAAGTCATAAACAAGTTTTAAGAAAAAGGGATACAGAAAATGCTTATTGAGTCTCAGTGGGTTGCCCTGTTAATTTACCAGATCAAACTAAAATAAAAAAATAAAGCTTAACACTAAAAAGAGGATAATTTTGGTAAGTTTGAATTACTAAAGTCCCTTTAACACTAAAGACAATGATTGTCTCAATTTTGTTAAAACAGGTGCATGTCTAATTCCTTGATGCAATTCATGTGCTTGAGAAACCCACCTTTGTTTTCTTTTGTGTTTTTGTTTTGTTTTGTTTTGTTTTGTTTTGTTTTCTTCCTTTTTGGTTTTCCAGCAAATCTTTTATTTCATGTCGCTGCTTCTCCAAGTTTGAACTTACAAGCATGCCAAGGCACTTTCATTTGTAAGCCATCCTGAAGTTTTGAACTGAAGTCTACCTTCTGTGGATATTGATGCTTTGTTAAAAGACAATCACACGTGCAGTAGGGTCTAAAAGAGACAATATTTGAGCATTCAGACATTCTCAAAGTGCTGGGTGTTTTTAGGCTAGAAGGGTAGAGCCATTTTTTTACTAAAGTGAAAGGAAATTCAGTCTTCACACTTTCTGTTAGGGAATGACATTCCGCAGTTTAACACCTGAGACAATATAGCTTTGTTCCTTTGTTCCAAAGTAGATAGACATTTTCAGCAACTTAGGTACCACTCAAATTAAAAAAGAATAAGAATGAATAATTTACCTATCTATTCACCAACCTGCTCATCCATCTGGTCATCCATCCAACAATTAATGAAACATGGAAACCTTCTGTCAGAAGACTACAAAGATAATGAGTGAAAGGGTAGCTTGCTATCAAAATGGAACAAAATGAACTGATGGATGGAGGAACAGATAGATTCGTCAAAGAGACAGCATATAGAATAGCTGTCTTGCCTATATGAGTTTTTGGCTTGAGTGAGGTAAGATGATACACTTTTTGATTGACATTTTTGAATGTCATAGATTTGGTCTTCCTTTAGTACCACTGTTGCTCTTTCGTAATAATGAAATAGTTCATTCTTGGAAAACAAATATAACACATCTTTCTGAAGTGGCATCGTTACTGTTTTTTTAAGTTTTTAACATTTTATAAATTGGCTTAAAATATTTTTAAGAGGAGCCCAGGTTTGCAATCTTGAATTATATAAGTAGTAAGCAAAACATTAAACACTATTAACTTCACTGAGATTCTTTATGTGAGTAAAAAAAGAAGTATTAGTCCTAAATTGTTCAATTTAAGTAGTCATAAAACCAGCAGATTTCCTTAGCAGAACACATGGTGTCTGCTAAGGCACAGTTGTTACCTATTCTGCAATTGAATGAGCTAATAAAGACCCAGAAGCATCTTATCAAAAGGACTGATCCTGGAAGTCCTTAATTCTTCAAATCCAAATCTCTCTTACTTACATGTGAAGTCTCGTTGATGTGAGTGACTGTACTTTTGAAGCAAAAACTATTAATGTGAATTAGGATTTGCAAAATCAGGCCCAAAATCCCTCCTAGTGTTATGGAAAAGTTACACTTTACTGCGATTTCTCTGTGATATTTTTAATTGGTATTCAGTTTTCCAAATGAAGAAGTCAATGAGAGAGCAAACAAAGAAACGAGAGCTTGAACAGTTCTGAATATTTACAAAACACCTCAGACACTTAAAATATGCTTATCATTTTTCTCCAGTGTGACACCAAAATAGCAGTAGGAAGAGTTCTCTGTGGAAAAGAAGGACTGTAAGTCTGCAACCCTTACACACCTAATAGAATTTACTAATGTAAACAGTTCCTCAATAAAATTCAGTGGCCAAATAAATTTTACTTAGGGGAAGCTAGGGCTTCAGAACCATGTAATCAAAAGAAAGATTAGAAGAGACCTATGGTGGCAGAATTAAGTTATAATTTCTCAACAGTTTTCTCTCATTCCATATTCATTTTCCTGTTGTCTTTATTCATGCGCGTGTATGCCATCGTAGAGTGAAGAATGAGGAATGACAGGTTGTAGGTGACTCCAACAAGTGATTGTTCTTTTAGCAAACACAGTTCTAGCACCAGTGCTGTCTCCAGCATTAACCATATGGTGCAGTGCATGAATCCCGGACTGGAAGACCACTTAGCAAACAAGGAAGACCCCACAACACACAAAGTGCTTTTTTTACTGGAGTGGGACCACCTCCTTGGTGTACACATTAGAAGATGCAGATGAAGGCCCAGAAATGGAGACATTATCTTTTTTTCAGCCTTAATATACTAACTTCTCATTCTTGAAAGTAAAGCAAGAGATACGACAGGCATGTCTAAAGCTGTGCTATGAGCTTGGGTTAGAATAGATGACATCCTGAGGAGAGTTGTAATCCTCCAGTAATAGTGAGGGAACCACTTTTCTATCCTGGCTTAGAGAGCTCTCCTAGCTGGAACAGCAAAAATTCTCGTTCCTCATCATTGCCCACCCTTTTTCCCTTTGGCAGAAGATGAGAAAAGATACAGTATTGATTCAAGGGGAGAAAAGAATGAAAATGGAAAGCTTTGAATGGTCAGTACCTTCCCTCCATTTTCAGGGATAACATCTCAATATTAGTGAAATAACTCCCTGTTCTTTACTCATTTCACCTCTACCTTTTGGCACTCTATCATGAGTGAGGTGGGAAGGAGGGAATGTAGCAAGTGAAATGTCTGGGTATGTAGGGGCAGGGACAGTACGGAAAGAAATATAGTGCTAGAGGGAGGGAACGTGTGAGGAGAAGGGAAAATGGTGTAGTAAAGAATAGACAGCATACCCATTAAAAAATCCAAAGCACAACAGGACAGAGAAGAAAAGCAAACTCTGAGGACATGGTATATGACAAGAGTTTGGCCTTATGCAGTGTACAGTGCCATTTCCTCTAGCTCAGACAGGAGCTGGGCTGAGAGGGATGAATATTTTGACAGATACTGTTATTGGATCTTATTTTCCTCATAGACAAGAGGAAAGGCTCTGTTTTTACATGTTGAGGATGGGTGGCTTCAGTGCATGTTGATGTTTTAATAGACATACGTTGCCTCTGGTAAGTTTAAAACTTCCTGAGATGCAGTACATGGCATCAGGTGTTTCAACACTTTCCAGGTGAAGGATACCCTCCATTTTTATTTCTCATTTTTTCATCAATGCAGTTACTCCACCCTGATCAAGTCCTAGTGTTTCATTTACAAATCTGTGGGTGAGGAGCACAAGGGATGTGCAGCCCACATCCACATGTCCGTATATTACACCTCTCCATACACTTTTGCTTAGTTAGCTAGGGCCCTTTTTGGGGACAGGAACTCCTTTCAGATACATTTCTTCTCTTGTCCCCATTCTCTTCTCCATGGTCCATCCTGTCACCATAAGATGATGCAACACCGCATCACCACTTGACTTCGAGACCCGTCACGACGACCACCAAAATTGGTGAGCTCCCCCTTGTATTTTGATCTACTCTAACCACTGGCTGTGAAGGAATGAGCAGTGGGTTATAGGCTTTGCTACATGGTGGCATTTTGCACCTCTCATCAGGGTGGACTAGAGAGAGGAAGTGGTGAGTGAGACCTGGGGAGTGGGAATGGGATGGAGACACATGTTTCAAACTTTATAAAAATGGGAAAACACAGTAGATATTTGAATGATGATTGACTTGATGCTGCATTGATAACCCTTCTGAACTCTGCCCTGTCTGGTTGTCTGTTAATTCAACAGATTCCAGGTGGCATGCGCCTAATCTTCTGAGGAACAGCGAAATTATAGGCACTGCCTTTGCACTGCATGAAGCAATTTATTTCTTAACATAGTCAACCTAGTGCAGCCTGGGAAATAACCAGTATTTATAGAGCAGTCCAGGCTGAACATGATTTAAGTGTCCTGCAAAACTAGGTGAATTGGCAATTGTTACTAGATTTATTTTTAATAAATATATTTTTCATTACATATGATATTAGACCACTCCTAACACTCAAGGTGTGACCTTGAGTAAACCACTTAACCTGCCTACATTTGAATTTCACTGTCTGTAATAGGGGAGTCACATGTAAGGCATACTGGGGCCTAACCATCTGAAATACTAGGTTATCCTTGCTATTTCAAAAACTTTGCTCTTTCAGAGACATCACAAATGTTTGAATTTGGTGTGTCTTGGTTTTAGATTTGTGAGCCTTCACAACACAAAATTTACAGGTGGAAGATCATGACTGATTCTGTCTGAAGATTCCTACACAATCCTTATATCACCATAAATTTTTTTCTGATGTTTTACTGTCTTCAAGCCACCCCTTAAAACCTTTGCATTATTAAAAGTGGTTTTATGAGTTAATCCCATCCTTTGACCAGTCGAAATAGAAGGTTTATTTATGGGCTAAAGCTTGACAGGTACTGCAATCTGAATTGATAGTAGAAAAATAGCCACATATTGAAGTCTTATACGTAGTTTAAAATGGGCCCAACTCTAAAAGAGTGGGTTCAAATTTCTGACTGAGTTAAAGCTCCTCCAGAGTTTTGATGTGTGAGTGGATGTTGGAGTATGAGGCTCAGTTTTAGCTGTTCTTGCTTTCAGGCTAATCTTCCTTATTAATGAGCTTTAGACAGTACATTTCCATACTGTATTTCTACAGTCATCATAAACACTACCAAGAATGAATCTACTTCTTTGTTGTCCATCATTTCTGGCCGGGACTCAATGTAAGATGCAAAGTGAAGGAAATGTCTGGCAATAATGTTATTCACCCCCCTTCACCAGGACGACAGTTAACGATCTTCAACACCCAGGCGCAAATAGCCATAGGAGGGAAGGACAGAGGGCGTCTCTTCCAAGGCCAGCTCTCCGGTCTCTATTACAATGGCTTGAAAGTGCTGAACATGGCAGCGGAGAACAACCCCAACATTAAAATCAATGGAAGTGTCCGACTCGTTGGGGAAGTCCCTTCCATCTTGGGAACAACACCCACAACCTCCATGCCACCGGAAATGTCTACTACAGTCATGGAAACCACAACTACGATGGCCACCACTACAACCCGGAAAAATCGTTCACCACCTAGCATCCAGGTGAGTCAGTTAGTCTTCTGCATTTCCTTGGGTTCTTAATTAGTCTTTTGTTTCACTGCTCACTTGTAAGTTCATGGGAGCCATGTTCTCTGAATCATGCTCCATGTAACTATTTTAATAATGTTGGATAGGGTGAATCACCACAAAATGTTGTCCTGTGTTAGTGAACAAACAGCTGGATGAATTATTATGGCACATGTACGTGATAATGGGGACAGATTTTGCTCCTGTTCTAGTGCAACCCCATTTATGTAAGCAGGATTGCCCCTATGTGAACGAGAACGTGATTTTAACTATGTTTCCACAGTTCCATATGTGGGGAAATGTATTCCTAAGGGAGTTACAAAGCTTAATAGGGGGTGGGTGTATGGTTATTTATTATTATGACAGTATGTACTGCTGCAACAGTGAAGTTCATAATGGGGAGAAAAGCAATGGAGCATTACTTCCAGGTAGAGCCATTTTTCATTTTCCTTTTATAGCCTTCCTGTAGAAAATTTTAAAGGAATGCTATCAAGATCAGTTTCTTGCAAAATGTAGATGTTCCAACATAGAGCAGTTCCAACATCTTTGGTAAAAATCATTCCTACAAAAAAAAAGAATTTCAGATGTTCTGGCTTAATTGTGCCAATGTGGTGTTTTCAGTCCTAAAAATGCAGTGGTTTTGGAACCACTTGTGTGGCAGCCATAATATGGTACTGATTAGAAATAAACACCTTAAATTGGCTCTCCTTGTCTGTACAAAGAAAAGAATCATGGAAATAACCAATCTGAGTAGTGGATCAGATTTTGAAAATTATTTATTTCAGTGGCATACTATCATGTTATCAACTAGGATGAAACATTTGTTTTAAAATCTTTATTTACATCAGAACCTCATCCTGTAGAAATCAACATACTTTTATTGACACCAGCATACACTGAGACACTGGCGAGTGATTATTGATCAGAGTGTGCCTTTATTAAACCTCCAGAGAAAGGTATATTGTTGTCTAGTTGCAGAAAAAAATTAAATTATTCCATCTGCTTCCCTGAAACAAGTGCTGCTGCTTGGGACAGAAGACCTTAATGAAATCAAGGACTTTGAAATCTGTAATCATACAAGTTGCATGCTTGCTTTCTAACTGCTTCAGAAGGTTTAATCAATTATTGATTGGGCTTGTACATATATGACCATTGTCTTTATTTTTTATCTAGTCCTGGTCACTTAGAATAAGAAAACACAAAAATCGTCATCTTAATTGTGTAGGAGGTCAGGCCATGCCTCCAGTATTGTGTCCAGTTCTGGGCTCCTCAGTACAAAAGAGACATGGAGTTACTGAAGAGAGTCCAACAAAGGGCCTCTAAGATGGTTAAGGGACTGGAGCATCTCTCCTATGAGAAAAGGCTGAGAGAGCTGGGACTGTTCAGCCTGGAGAAGAGGGGGGATCTTATCAATGTGTGCAGGTCCCTGAAGGGAGGGTATAAAGATGACAGCGGTGCCCAGTGACAGGACCAGAGGCAATGGACACAAACTGAAACACAGGAGTTTCCCTATAAACATCATGAAACACTTTTTTTACTGTGAGGGTGACTGAGCACTGGCACAGGTTGCCCAGAGAGGTTGTGGAGTGTCCATGCTTGTAAATATTCAAAAGCCCATGGTTCTGGGCAACTGGCTCTGGGTGACCCTGCTTGAGCACAGTGGGTGGACCAGATTACCTCCAGAGGTCCTTTCCAATGACAACCATTCTGTGATTCTGTGAGGTACCTCTGGCTGCAGTGGAATTTACAACTATTAGAGTAATTAATTCCAAGCCAAGGTTTAACGTTGCCCCCTTTGGTACTCTGTAAATCCAGTTGGCAGCAGGACTGGGATTAATTGAGTTATTAGCCTCAAACACCCGATAGGTGATTTATAGTCTCAGCTAAATGAGGGGAAATTACCACAGGCTTGGTCACTGTTTGTCATAAACTTTGAAAGAATTACAGCTCCTTCTCCTCAGTGGCTAGCTCTAATTTTACAGAATATCTTTTTGCGATTACATCTCCATAAGAATAAAATCTGTGGTCCTGATCCTGTACTTGTTAGTTTATTGGAGATTTTCTGTAATTTATAAAGGCAGCAGAACTGTGTTTAGCTATAGGACTGTAACAGAGAGTAGCACTGGACCTTTGTGGGCTGGGTCAAGCTGGAGATGACCCTGGCTTACTTGAAGAGGAAAGAAAGCTTCCTGCCTAACCTACATGGCAATTCACTCAGCCTGTAGAGACCACTGTGTGCTGAAAGAGCATCAAGAAGATTTAATAAAGTGTCAAAGTGCTTCTAAAAACATGGTTAGAGCAGTGATTTCCTGGATAGACACGCACCACAACAAATGGCCTCATCTCAGCTGATATTAAAGCAATAACTCTTTGACACTTCATGCTACCCACTGAAAGAAAGATAAAGGTCAATATGTACCTCCATTACAACTTTCTGCATTTCAATATCAGGCCATTTTACTGCTGTCGCAGCACAGATGGCTCGCCTTTTTTCCTTACTCTTGGTAGAATTTGATTTTGTCAGCTTAAGTTGCGTTATTTGTGTGGTGAAAGTGAGAAGAAATTGTCTTTTTCTGTTAGGGCAGTATCTCCAGCTGTGGTTTTCAGATGCCTAATGGTTATTTTATTTTGCTTGTGTTCGACATCACCATTGTCAAGCCTGCGTACAATTTTAGATCTAAGTGGTGCAAAAATCTAATAGAACAAGTTTGTTCTTTGGGGAATGTAAAATATAGCTACCTAAGGCTATGAGCAGTACAAATACCGTTAGTTATTACCTTGCTCAAGCTTTCTCTTCTCTTTTCTGCTCAGAAATAAACAATTTTTCTTCACTTTGAAGGCCATTCACAGTTTAGCCTCTTCTCTCCCCATTCTGATCAGCATGATTCAAGCATTTTTTCTCTCACTTCTTAGATTTGATCATAAGAATCTTTCTGCTTCCTGGTACCATCCACAAGGCAACAGCAGGTTATTTTTCCAATCCCATTGAAACCCTCCTTTCATCATGATGCGTGCCAAAAAGTTGTCAGAGGTTAGGCTGATGATGGTCTAAGGCAGCTGTTTATCAAGCTGATCAATATTGACACATTTTTTGTTTTCTTATCCATTTTTCTTTATCCATGTGTGATATCCTGTTTTGTGCTTAGATTGCACTCCTTGGGTTCAAAATGTACTTTTTATTCTGCACGTGTATACTACTTAGCACAGAAGGGTTCTGGACCATTGTAGATACACCAAACATGATACAAGTAAAAGTAAAGCATCTAATGCAAAATAGCAAAAATTGGGATAAACAATTATTATTCTTACTGTATTAGAAATATCTGTGCTATTTCTATTACTCATTTTCATATGCAAGTAACTAAAACTTCTCCTCTTTGAAATGCATATAAAGCTTGTGCAGAATATCAAGTCTGTAATCCCAAAGTGATAGAAAATCCAGGGGAATTTCAGTAGGATTTAGATTTACACATCACTTGTTAAGGAAGCACAGAAGAGCATGATAACTGCAAAGATTTCTTCTGTTTGTAACGTACACCAAGATACCTCCTGCAGTTAGGTAGTCTGAGTACTGCCAGAAGTATTTTAGAGCACAGTTAGACTAAAGCAGCTGGGAAAATGAAGTGCTTTAGAAATACACAGTATACGCACAGACCAATGACATGCTTTTCAATTTGTGAAGATCCCAAACATGGGATATAGTCTTCGACAAACAACCAAGACAAGGGGAATTGAGAGAAAAGTATTACTGGAAATACCTGGTGGCAATGATATTAGCATTTAAAATGTCTATAACTTTTTTTTTTTGTTTTAAAATTTAAGGCAGTGAAACTTAGATCAGTGGAGGACGGCAGGATTTGAGTGAGAAACAGTTGAATTGTATGACTGTATTCTATACTGATAGGAACATTTCTGATTCAAATATCCTTCAGAGGGGCCTTGAAGGAAGATAACAAGAGCTGACCTTTTTCTGTTAACTGAAAATAAGGGAGAAAAAGGAGTTCCGATTCATGGTTGTTTCAGTGGGTTGCAAACGCTGCTTGTTCTCTGCTGCCCCCGAGTAGAAATGCTGATTTGTCTTTCCCACACATGGTTTTGTTCTGGATTTAGGTACAGTCTGTTCAGAAGTGACATGTGTTGTACTAAATTCCTCCTGCCAGTCTCAGGGCCCTGACACACCAGACTCTCCTGTGATAATAATATCCTCTCTGGGACTTCTGCTTTGCCACGTTACTCTACGAAGGCCTCAAAGACAAGCCGTTGGCTTTTGCATGTGGTACAGTAGCACACTGTGTGGGCTGCTATTACATGAGAGTCACTGTACTGTACCATGTCATATTCTTGCAAGGCTGCCATGTTTCTCACAGGGTTACTTCATTAGCAATTGTTAAAGGTCCTGGAATCCCATGTGTCCCTATTTCCTGATTTAAAGCACAGCTTCAATTATTAGTGAAGTAGTTCAGGGATTTCTGCGTCTGTGAGATTTCTGTGAAAAGGAGTTAAAGAAAAAAAACATGTCAGCTACTTATATGCTTAGAATTTATTTAGTGAGTTGTTGCTCAAAGCTTTTTAGGAGACTCTCCATATGCTCTCATGTGGCGCATTCTGTCCAGTTCACAGCTGGGTCACTCAGTTTTCAAATGATTTGTGTAAAGATATCTTTGAAGTTAATTACTAAGTAAAGCTAGTCTAGAAAAGCATGCATGGTGATACACGAGTCCTCCATTCAAAACACATTCAGTTCAGTGAATCCAAGATATGATTCCAGCTGGTGTATGGGTCCCTAAGGAGAACGGCTCCAGAGAAGCTTTTGGAGGCCCTAGGGCCCACTGACCTAGGGCAGGCTCCTGATATGTCTGCCCTGTGACATGGATGGCTGGGGTCCCAAGACCAAAATCACAGACAGTTTTCTGTGAAAAAGAGGTCAGAACCCTTCTGGGAAGGCAGATGGACTTCTGGTTATGCTCTCCATGAGG